TCTCACTCATTCGCTCGCCCTTCGTCCAGGTCATGCTAATTTCTTGCACGATGAATCTCGATGATTAAAATTCGATATTCGGACAGTCGGCTACATTTTCGTTTCCGAAACCATGGTCATACCACCGTTTCTTCGATGGGTATCTTCGGTAATTTTATGCACCCGCCAAATGGTCCAGAGATCCCTTAAATTCGCGTAGAACGATATTTCTGTTTCCCCGATGTTATCGAGACACAACGAAGCGAACATCTATACCCGTACGGCATTTCATGTACGCTCACACTCTTGAAAGAATTCACAATTATATGGGCATTCTATTATTTGGACTTTTATTTGTAATGAACCTCTATTTTCATTTTATGGAAAGCTGTGGAAAGCTTTTTGGGACCGGTGTGTAAAACTTTTTCCCGATATTGCCGTTCTCGTGTCACGCGTATATTTTTTTTGTTTTTTTTTCTCGAAGCGATGACGATATTTTGTGTTTATATATTTTGAGAGACAGATAAATAAATGAAATGCGGACAGGGATATTATTGAAATGCTATTTCAAAGGAGCTGAACTTATAGTAATTAATGTCTCCAGATTGAAAGTATTTTGTTGAATACATACATGTATAATGTATTGGTATTGTATACTTATGTTATCTGTGCAATATACTTCAAGAAGTTCATATGTTAGCTTTTATAGGTTCATTAAATATATTCTTGACTTTTTATTTATAGACTACGTATATTTTGAAACATCTTCCACATCTCCCTACCAAATAAGAAGGATAGAAGAATTAAATAAGGTAAGACAGTAATCTCCATTTTTGGGAACTGTTGCAATTTGAATTCTTATTGATTTTTATTTGTCAGTGTGTGCTGGATCACATTTTATACATTTTTATATGATCTGTATAGAGTTTGAATAATTATCAGATACATGTAGTTTTAGATATTATTCTCATACATGTTTAATTCCTTCTTTTAGACCGCAAGTGGAAATGTTGAAGCAAAAGTAATGTGCTTCTTCAGGCGGAGGGATTTACCTTCTACTTTAATAATGCTTGCTGATAAACATCAATGTAAGTAAAATCTACCATGTTCTGTAAAAAAAATTTCCATTTTCTTTATAATATTACAATTCCAGTTGTCAGAGGTACATTGGCATTGTTCATTTCAATAACCAACAAAAACTTAATAAGATTTCTTTAACTTTTTAATTGAATGGCATCACTTAGTTCACTTAAATCAGGAAAATATTTGAAAAAAATGCGTTAACTATTTTCAATTATGTTCACACAGTTGTATAGTAACATTCATACAATGAACATAATAATTGTGGATTTTTATGCATTTATAATATACATACATATTATGCAGTCAAAATGTATAATAATGTTAAAAAAAAAAGGTTTTGTGTTATTTGAAACTTAATAGTATCTTTCATGGCTTAAATGAATTTCTGATTGATCTTGATTTCTGTGGAATAATTTATAAAAATTTATAAATCGTATAAACATCCACAGTATAATAATGAAAGTACGAGAGCAATATAATTTATGTTGCTTCACGCTGTCCTACGGATCGATAGTCATCCCCGAATGAAGAAAATTGAAACAGTTCTCTCGCGCGCGCCATATAAGATCATTTCAATGGTTCGCGGTTGAATTTCTTACTAACCTGACACGATAATAGTCTATTCG